TGTGTCTGCTTTCTTTCATTCATCATAAGGTTACCTTGTTTTGAAGCAGAAAACCAAGGAGCTGACATTTTCTTTTTCAGGAAATTCCCCTCTGATGTCACAGACCTGAATGCCAACTACTCTGATTACACTGGTTATACCTCCAGTACTCTTCCAAGCACACATTAGAAAAACTGTTACAACGGAACAGACTCTTGGATTATAAAAGTTTTCCTTCAATATAAACTAAATCCATTAAAGGTATTCAAATACTCCAGAAAAAAAAAAAAAAGTCATGTATAAGATTTGACACTATAAAAGTATAATCTTTCCCATACTGAGTGCAAAATGCCTCTTAAACCTGGCATCCACCTATTTTAAAGAATCCTCAAATCGTAGAATAAAATAAACCATCAATTCTGTTATTACTTTTGATTAAAAAGTAATCAAAGAGTTAAACTACAGGAAAATCTCTCAGAGGAAGCCTAAGGCTCTAAATTCAGATGAATGTGAGTCAGCTCAGAAAAGGCAGGAGACTGTGAGAATAAATTTGTTGTTTTAAACCAAAAAAGAAGAAAAGGCAGGGGAGGGACAATAGTACAGCAATAAATTATGGTACAGATTTTTAAGCCAGCTCTCAGGATCCTGATCTGGGATGTGCCACTTCTAGCAGGGTGACCTTGGCCAAATTATTACTCTGTATCTCAGTTACTTCACTGTAAGATGGGAATAACCTCATGGGATTGTTGCAAGAATTGAATTTTAATGTGTATATAAAGCTCTTAGGCCAGAGAAGCCCAAGACCCATGGTGACCATGTGCCCCGAGGCTCCAGTGTGACCGAGCTGGTTGGTATTGCTGCAGCCAGGCCCCTCCCTCCCAGCCTGGGCGAGTGGGTGCCAACCTGAACCTTCTGTCCTGGCAGGATCCTAGCCAGACCATAGTACTGAACCAATGGACCGTGAAATCCCTTGCCACAATGACTAAACACCAAAGGAAAGATACCAGAAATATGAAAAATCAAGAAAGCACACCACCAAAGGGTAATAACCCTCAAGCTCTAGATCCTATAGAACAAGAAGCCCTTGGAATGTCTGACAAGGAATTTCAAAGGATAATTCTAAGGAAACTAAATGAGATACAAGACAACTCAACTAGACAACATGATGAAATGAAGAAAAGTATACAGGACCTGAAAGAAGAAATGTACGAGGAAATCAATGTCCCGAAAAAGAATATAGCAGAGCTTGCCAAGCTGAAAAATTCATTCAATGAAATAAAAAATACAACAGAGAGTTTAACCAGCAGCCTTGCAGAAGCAGAAGAGAGAACTTCTGACCTTGAAGATGGGCTGTTTGAAACAACACAGGCGGACAAAAAAGAAAAAGAAAAAGAAAAAAGAATTAAAAACATTGAAGAAAATCTAAGAGAGATAGCAGACAACCTTAAGTGCTCAAATATCCAAGTCATGGGTATTCCAGAAGGGGAAGAAAAAGGAGATTGCACTGAAAACAAATTCAACAAAATAGTGGCGGAAAACTTCCCAGGTATAGGAAAAGACACAGATCTTCAGATTCAGGAAGCTCAAAGATCCCCAAACGAATTCAACAAAAAAAGGTCTTCTCTAAGACATGTTATAGTCAAATTGGCAAAACTCAAAGACAAAGAGAG